TCCTGTACTATTGGATGTATTAGTATAGTCCATGATTCGTAATCAACATCTCTACTTGCTGATATTCTAATGTTAGTATCATTAATCTTAAGTGGTTGTATTTTTCCTATTCCATCAATATTAGTAGAAATGTTCATATAATGAAATCTAACAACACTTCTGTCATCAGGAGGTTGATATACACCAATCCTGTATCCACTGGAGACATTTAATGGAGTAGGGAGAGTAAGTGTACAGTACTAGTGTACACAGTATTCATGTTATTAGCTGGCCTCCATACTTCAAATCTTGGATATAAATTTCTACCAGTACCAATATTATGAACTGTCCTTATATCAACTCCAATCAATATTTCTGTTATAACTGTAGTACACGTAAAAATGACATCATTCCCCATAGAGTCCTCAATGATGATCCATCTTGTTGCATTGGTTTCAGCTAGTCTGTTAAAAACTAAGGAACCTGATGGAGATGCTGCTCTAGCCTGAAGAAGACTATAATCCATAAATCCTTCAGTACAAGACTCTCCATTAGCCTCCAGTAATATTCCATTACTCATGAAGCACAGCAGTATTACTAATAGAAGATAGGAAGACACAATCTTCATCTTTGGCAGCAAAAATATTACTAACAAAAAAAACATTAAATGTTATTAGTTTTGCTTAGTGTGTAATGCATAAACAGTAGAGTAAAGGAAGTTAATTTTTCCCGTTACTTTACTATCTATGTGTAGTGGCAGTGCTAATTCAACTATACCCAGGTTGAGATTATTATTACCATATTAATAACTATTGCACAAACCAATAGCTGTATACCTATTATATTTAATCTTACATACTTAATTACTGTCTTAATTGCTGTCTGCTTTGTCCACACATATCTATGTGTGGACAAAAAATACAGGTTAGTGTTTGACAATGCAATTGCAATTTCTCTGATTTTTACATAATTAATATCTGCTGTGCTGCTTAAAGAAAGTTATCAGTGAAGTGATAACTTAGGTCAAATGTTGTTATAAATCTAAAATTCTGATTTAAGCAACAAAAAATTATTTAAATAATCAATGTCTTTATTTTTACAATAATTATTGTACAATGGAATGCGTTTGTCTATCATAAATATACACATAAAAGCTTGTTCTCTATACAATAAAAATTAACATAAAAAACTATACACACATGTACATGTACTGTAAGTCGTTGTAGAGGGAGTGGCTTGTTTCTAAAGCTCCACCCAGTACAGTAACAGGATCCTCTTTATTAATCATTAGTAATTGTTTATCAGGTGAGGATAGACTTGATGATATATCTGAAAAACTTGGACGATCATGAGTATCAGGATTCCTAAAAAGGAATAGTAGCAATATTAGATTTATAATTTTATATTAATATAGTTTATTATACAAAGTCAAAATAAGCAGTTAACAGCCAACATTCTACTCTGACTGCCAAGAATACTAACAACAAGGACAAATCATTGTCCTTAATTAAAAATTTGTAGTCATTTTGACTTAAGTGCAATGAGCATTAAAAATAATAATGATTTTCATGAGCTATATAGCCCATGGTTTTTTCAAATAAATGGCTCCAAAATCACCCCAAATTTTTATTACATTTTCTGATACATATTGATGACTTTATGCTGTGTAGAAAGTTTGAGCTGATTCCAACAAATATT